TATAGTTCAAGTTAACTCGATATTCTGATAGATCAACACAAATCGTAAATGCCCTGAATCTTCGTTTCTCCTTTATCAGCTAAAATCACTAAGAATTCTCCAAGAACCTAATGCCCAAAATGATTATGATTTTCCTGAATAATGGAATCACTCCGGTCATATATGAAAACATAAGTAACTCAGATGCAAAGGATTCTGAATACTTTTCTGATTACCTTGTGCTTTCGAAAAATGTCCAAATACTATATGATCCTGATAAATCACATTCTGAATAAATAATGATTCCATAAGCTAATGAACTCTTTCGATAATGATTCTAATTTCTAACATTCTATCGGTATACTGAAGATCCGTGTTTCCCTGCATGATAAGATTATCGAGTACCTCCGAATAATATATGGAACCTCTAGTATGTTCCCTGATCACATGGATGTTTTCTCTGATTTTTGTTCTAAACTCTTCTCTTATTTATGATATCTCTGTTTATTGACTGAAATTATTTTTATACGTGGTACTCTAGGACTCTGGTATAACTAAAAACTCTGGCAGGTTCAGTCGCTGCTGGTAATTCCTTGTATAGGTTTAACACCGACTGGTAATTCTTTATGGACTTAAGGCGACCCCTGGGTAGGCTCTGCGACCTCGAGATCTTTCTTGGGTAGGCCCTACAGCCCCAAGATTTTTTTTGGATAGGCCCCGTGGCCCCGAGAATCTTTCTTGGGTAGACTCTCAACCCCCAAGGTGCTCCCTTAGGTTATGCAGTTTTGGGAACTACATATGGCGTTCGGTTGGAGGGTTTTACTATGGTTTTTGAAAAATACGTTTTAAACTACTATTGTTTTAAAAAGATATGTACCTTTTGACTGGTTTTGTAGGAACACACTAGACACCCTATTCTGATCTCTTGATCCCAATCACTCGAAACATTTTTCTTATGAACTGGAAACTTACTGTCTTTTACTATCTGAGATATCAGTGGGACCTCAGCTCAGCATAAAAGGCTGTAGATATCTGAATCAATAAGGAAACATATGCTTATCTGTTATCTGCATGTTCTTCAGCATTATCTGGTTGTTCTGTATTATTGAGCTTTCCAAAGCTTACTCATTTACTCACTATTTCAAGTTAAAAGGATTGAACCAGTGCAACTATCGACATCAATAAAGGAGTTCCACCGACGTTGCTTGCGGAGTACGGTGCATATGTTTAGGGGGCATGTAGGTGGTATTCTATTTTTACATCCGTGTCTGAAATGTGTATGATTTTAACTTTTTATGTAATATATGAATGGTTTTCCAAACTTGTATTTTAATTATAAATTGTTTTATGATTTTACATGTTTTAAAAGAAATTTTAATTTTTTTGGGATTTTTATGGTGGGTTGTTCTGGTGGCCCTAATATTACACCCCGGATTGGATCGAGCTACCTGTATCAGTCTGTGAGGGTTATAATGTGCCTTCGTCTAATGGTCCCCTCGCCTCACGAGCAAAACACCAAGCAAATTTGGTCTTATCCTCTGCACAAATACTACCAAAGCGAAAGAATAGTGTCACCGTTTTTGACAGAGGGATCACGAGAAGATTTTTCACCACAAAAAATACAAGAAAAAACAAGAAAAAAGGCTCTCTCTATATAGAGAAATCAACAACAAACCAAAGAGTGAGGATGCCATTTTTGTTTTCATTCATCAACCACCAGAGTAAGAAAACCACACAAAAAATAGGGAGATAGGGAACATTCGGGGAGATCAACAACAATTGTAACAAAAGGGGGATTTTTTGATCTAAAAAAATAGTGTACAAGGGAGGTTTTTCTCCCCCCATTCAAAAAACAAAGCAGTAATGCAGGATACCTTTTTTAAGGTTTTTTCTTTCTTTTTTGGAAGCAACATTTCTTCTTCTTTTTCCAAGAAAAAAAAGAAAAAAGAAATAGATATTATATAGAGAGGGGGTTTTATTTGGTCAGTCTCCTCATCCGAGCTAGGATAATCCTCTACGTAGGGTAAGTCAGTCATTTTTATCGTCGTTAATGGCTTGCATGTAGGTTTTGAGCCATTATTTTATGGTCTAGGTTAGAGAGAAAGGGATTTCAAAGGTCATTGGTAGCTTGTCTTGGTAATCCAACCACCATTGATAGTGTTTGAAGGAGATATGAGTGCCAATTTATGACGATGGTCGGAGATAAGGTTTTTTTGGGCTTTGGTTTATGGGTTTTCAGAGAAAAGATATGGGATGTTAGGTCATTTTGATCTTTGGGTTATCTTCACAGCCATCTCTGATAATGATCGATGAGTGGAGCGGACGTCAACTGTGTGAGGCCTTTAGGGCTCTCGGCCGAAGAAGAGGAAAATGAAGAGTTTGAGAACTCTCTCGGTTTGGGTGGCTGCTAATTTGAAAAAAATGATTAGGTTTAGGTTAATTTATTGATTAAGGAGGGGTTTTATATAATGGGTTTTAAGTTATTTCAGTTTTTTGTTCCGATGTCATATTTTTGCAAAATAGTCACCTATAGGGTTTGTTTTGAATTGTCTTCTTTTATTTGTCCCGATGTCATTATTTTCCAGAGTTGCTTTCCTGTTTTATTTGTTTGGTTTAATTCTGTTCATACCCCTAATATTTTAGCAGGTTTTTACATTTTAATTCTTGTTTATTTGTTGTTTCGCATGGTTGATTTAATTGCATGTTTAGTTCATGTTTAATCCCTAATTAATTTAGTAATTATTCAATTTAATCTCTTGTTTGTTTAATTTGTTAAGTACTAATTAAAATTCATGTTTATTTTCTTTTGATTTGTATTAATTAATTAGATTGTTTTACATATTTAAATTCACATAAGAAATTTTGTTGCATGAGTAATTTATTTTCTTATTTCCTTAACATTATTTAGGCTTTAGAATTTACCCCTAGGATAGGTAGCTTCTCTATTAAAAAATTATGGTTAGTTAGGTTTAGTCCTTATTCTGAGCTTGCATGGTCATTTTTAAATTTAGTCCTTGAATTTTGTTGCTGACTTTTAATGTAGCCCCTTGTTAGGTAATTGCTTTCTTTAATTAGTTGTTTATATTTATTTTGCATGTTGATAAGTTTACATATGTGCGAGTATGCGAATGATTTATTTGCGAATCGCATGACATCATTTTTGCATGAGATGTATGATACCTTATGAGCATAACTAGACTCAATGCAAATAATTGAATTAAGAACAATGCCCTTTGATTTTAGGGTTGTTGATAAGTGACTATCTTAACATATAAGATAGTTACTTCCGACAATTTTAAAATTAAAGTGTATCCCGTCAAGCGAAACCATAAAATTTGACTGCACCTAAAATTTGAGAATAAAAGAAAAAGAAATGTTTGTCTATTTAAATTCATCGAGAAAAGATCGTTAGAACTTATAAAAGGTCTGACCTTGACGTCTTTAAATAATCGAATATCATTATTCTTTCTAAAAAGATTGGTAATTTTTAATTAACTGATTGTATTCTCTTATTTCATACATTTGAGCATTACGATGGAACTATAATATTTATGTATTTCGATTGGAGTATAAATTGACTGTCTTGAGGTATGAGAGGTCGATTCAGCTCGATAAGAAATAATTAAATATTGTATGTTTCATTCTAAAATTCAAATAATATTGTTTTAAGGGATCTTAAATTAATTAAATTTGAACTTGTATATTTCATTGTAAAGACAATTAATTAATCGACTAGGTACCAATTTAGGGCACTGTGGGGTGCTAATCATTCCCTACATGTAACCAATTCCCGAACTCAATTTTCTAGTACATAGACTGTAAATTTGTTGTTTTAATTAAAATTAATATTTTTTATTAAAATGACAAATATGTTTTTGGGTGCCCAATCATACCCTAATCAAAGATTGGTGGCGACTCCTCGAACCGTTTTTCAATTTACTTTTAAAAGAGAATCCCAAAATTTTCGAAATGAGTGCTTTTTTTAAAAAAAATCACACTCTTTAACTAAAAATTTAAAAATTAAACTTGATGTGTGTGTTTTTTTAATTTTTTTTGAAAACAATCGTTTCGACAATATCAATACTAATTTATAAGAAATAATTTATTATTATAAAGCATGGTATATATATGCTATTAAGCATGAGTACTTAATCAATCCATCAAGTGGTCTTATTGATTAAAATGAGTGTTTTATTTAGAAGTCATGAGTTCAAGTAGTTGTCTGAAGGGTATGTGTACGTTGCAATGATTAAAAAAGATTTATTAACATATATTATTTTATACTCACACAGACTATTAAAAATATATGAAGACCCAAACTATTAAAAAAATATGAGGACTCATTATGAAGTGGGTAGCAAAGAGCAATTGAACAATTCCGGTATAAACTCTTATAAATTATACTAGACTTCTTCGATCAATGCCAGTCCTGTTTCTGAAATTTCAGTCGCCTAAGAGTGAATCTAAAAATTAGGTCTAATAATAAATATTGAAAAAAATAAATTTTAAGAGTTGATAAAAATAAATTAATTTACTTGTAAATTATATTTTTTATTATATCAACTAATTGTTTAATAAATATATTAAATTTAAAATAAAAAATATAAAAAAATTATTAAACACCAAGCTACTCATTCTAAATAATTTCTACGTCTAAATGTAAAATCACTAATAATAGTGTTTACATTAATATGGTCCAACATATTTTTCCAGTATATAAAACTATTAGATCATTCAACATTTTATAATATCCTAATTTTGTCTAGGCAATTCAAATCAGATTAAAGGCGATCAAAGACTAAATTAAAGTTGTTCGTGTGTTGATATCAAATTAATTCAAGTGGCATGAGTGAAAAATAGATCGTGAAATTTTACAAGGCGTTGAGAAATTTCAACCGTGAATGATGAGTTACCTTTGCTTAATTGGGTTTGATAGCCATATGTTCATTTTGAAATTTAAAAGTCCTAATTAAATTAAAACATTTTTTTTATTAAAACTCAAGTACCAAAAATATTCAAAATTCAAATATATAAAAGACCCAAGTCCACGTTACAATCCAAATTAAAAGTCTTTGTTACAATTTTCAACTCAGCCTAACAAAATTGACCTAATTGGCCCAATAATAAACTATAGCAGCCTACTATCTAAACTAATTCAAAACCTAGTAAACGAATCAGTCATCGCCGCTTGCGAAGACCAACCGTTGAATCTAGATCTATATACAACGACCTAGAGGGAAGGAAAGAGAGCATATCATGCATGTGTGATACACGTAAGGCTCTCCAACCTTTTTACTCATGTGGTAGATTAGATCTAGGTAGACCGCATGCGCCTGGGTGATCTCCCACAGCCACCTCGACCGACCACATCAACAATTAAGGGAAGGGTTTTCTTACCAGTTGCTTTTGGCTAATCAACACAGACCACATTGGCAAAAGGGGACACACACCATTCTTCCATTTATGCAACCACGTACGCCTCTCCACATCAGCAACATCTAAGATGGCCTCCAGATTAAGCAAAGTTTGTGTTCACATCAGGAAACCCACCCTCGAAGTAAAGAATCAGGGGTTGCCTCCAAATGAAGGAAAGAAGACACTTTCCTTCGTTGGAAAGAAAAACGTCCATGAAAGTCTCTAAAAGGACCTATAAAAATAAAAAAATGGGGGCGGGGATTAGCAATATTTTTTAGCAACCATGTTCTTCTCACAATCAATCAACCAAAATCCGAGATAAAGAGAAACAATTACTTGAGGATTTTTGTTAAAAAAAACAAAAACAAAGGAGAGAGCTCATAAGAAACCAAGGAGTTTTTCAGAAATAAACCCCCCAAAATTTTGTATTACTATTTAGTCTCTCTTTGAAGCAATACAAATCTTGTTCTTGAGATCTTCGTCGTTTGAGAAGTGTTTTGTGTAAACTGAGCTTAGATTTAGAAAGAGGGAAGAAAAAGGAAGCGAAGAGGGCTTTACGGTTCGTATTTTGTCACTTCACTGGTGAAGGCGACTGGCTCGGCGAAGCCTCCAACGTGGAGACGCAAGAGAGACCACAGAGTCTATTTCGTTATTTATGGTTTAAGGCTAAAATGATTTTTTGTTGTTGTAAAAAACAGGCTTATATAAATGACGACAACGTCATTTTGGGCATCCCTTTTTTGTTTGAAACGACGCCGTCTTAGGAGCTGACCCACATGGAGATCCGACCTGAGAAGTTGAGTCCGTGTGTTTTGGTGGAAATAGGGACAATTTACTCATCAATCACTGTAAGTTTATTTGAAAATTTAATTTAATCCTTTTAGTTTTAATTCCATTTAATTTCTTTTGATTTTCCCTCTAACTTTTCATTTTTTTCAATTTTATCCTTATATTTTGTTATTATTAATTTGGTCCTCATATATTTTTAATTATATATAAATTAGACTATATTATATGTATATTATATATCTAATACCTTGTAATTATGTTTTAAAATATATTTATACTAATAGTTTATATTTATTATTATTATAGTAAATAATATATATATCTTTATATTAAATATTTTTTTTGTTATTTGTATATATTATATTTTATGTATAAAATTATATTAAATATTTATAAATATATGGCTTTTACTTTTCTTTTATAATTATATTTATATGAATATATTATAGGGTAAAGTAAACGTTTAGTACCTAAATTATCAATTTTGTTTCATTTTAGTACCTAAACTTTCATTTGTTTCAAAACCATACATAATATTTACTTTTGTTTCATTTTAGTACCTCACCATTAAAACATTAATAGAACTGTTACACGTGGCATTTATTATGGGTAAATTACATCAATCATCCCTTAACTATCTCCTTACTCCTATTTTGGTCACTAAAGTTTAAAAAATTTCAATTTAACTACTCAAAATTTCAAATTTCTTATGTTTTAATCACTCTAATTTATTTTATTAATAAATTTTTGTGACATGAATTTTTTTTATTATTTTAATAATTCAAAATTAAAATTAAAAAAATTGAAAGTTAGAGTGATGAAATTATTAGTAATTTGATAGTTAAGTAATTAAAAAAAGAAACTTCAATGACCAAAATAGGAGGGAGAAGATAGTTGAGTGATGAATGATGTAATTTACCCATAAAAGTACCATGTTTGTCACACCCGAATTTAGGGGCTAAATTTTAATAGTTTTAAAGTACCCAATTAAAGTTTCAACAAGGGAAAAATTAGGACCAAATTGTAAATTTATGAAATTCTTAGTCTAGTTTTGAGAATCTGGGAAGTTTAGAGACTTAATCCTGAATTAACCCATTTTTCTGATTTGTTGGAAAAAATTTTTTAAAAATAGAGTGGTTGGGGAGGCTTGAACTCATGTTCTCCAAGGTAAGGTTGCCTACAACTCTACCATTTAGGCTAGGCTCTTGTTTATGTTTTTAATTAATGAATATATATAATTATAGGCTAAAAATCGAATACCCCAAAATCCCCAAATCAATCCCAAATCCCTAACCCCCTAGCCACCGCAGCCTTCCTCTATCAACCAGCGCGTCCGGTCACTTTTGGAGCACGACGCTACCACCAACAAACTCGTCGATTTACACCGATCAAAACCCTAGCCTCAACTAACTCTAATCGACCGCCAAACATCGCGGGACAACAGATGAAGTTCTGTCGAAATCCCTAGCCCCGTTGCTCAATTTTTTTCGAAATCCGGTCACCGTGCTCATCATCTCACCTCATCGTCCCTAAATTTGGATTCCTCATCACCATGCGCCCAAAACCCGATCGAAGCCACCGTCCACTATCGTCGTTTACCTCATCGTCGGGGCGGGTAAGATACGATCTAAATTCCGGTTGATTATTCAATTTTTGGTTGATTGTTGAGTTAATTGTTGTTGTTTAGTGTGTTTGGATGCGTTGGAGTAATCAGCGGCCACCCCCGACCCCGTTACATTCGTTACGCGCCACCACGTGTTGCCGCGTGCGTGTGGGGCTTGTCCACAGATCTGTGAGCTTTCTAGAACTGGTTCAAGTGGATCGAACCGGTTTGAACCAGTCAGAGTCAACTTGGATCGAACCGAGTCAACCAGAATCAAACCGAGTCAACCCGAACTGGTTTGATCCGTTGACTTTGACCCGACCCATTGACTTGACCTGTCCCGTTGACTTTGACTTTGACCGAAAAAGTTAAATTTTTGAAAAAGCTTTATTTTATGTTTTTTGACGTCCTGAGTCCGAATCTAAAGTCCGTTTTTCCAAATTCGCACCCAGTAAGCCGTTTTTCAATGTTTTATATTCGGATTCAAGTTGGTTTCTCATTTAAGTTCATTTTCTGATGTAAATTCATTTGCTATGTATCCAAGGAATTATTGGACATTGAATTAAAGTTCGAGGACGATCAAATGGAGTTAAAATGGTTGATCGATATGGCATAAAAATCGAGGTAATACTCTACTACCTTTTGTATGCTTTTCGAAACTCACTGATAAATGGTAAATGCATGAATGTAAAAGATTGGTCCATTAGGTGTAGTTAACTATCATTGGACTTAGACAAAAATTGGAATAAAGACAGAACACTGTATAAGACTCTGACGACTCGAAAAAGAAATTGGTAGACTGATCAGAAACAAATCGTAGTTCAATGATTTAATCAGTAAATCAATTAATCTCATAACGCGTAAATTTTGATTAATCTCGTTAAAGGTTAAATGTTGGAAATATTTGGACAAGAAATTACCAAAAATAGAATTATGGGGTAAAATTACAAAAATGCCCTCATACTGAAAAATGACTAAGACTTCTCTTAGTGGTGAAAATAACCACTAGTGATCAATTGAGCAAAGTACTCTAAACTCTAAAGGAACTAGAATACTTTCAAGCCTAAGTTATCATAAGTTATGCCATTGACAAAATTGAATGAAAAAACGATAATACCCTTAAAGAGTAAAAAGGATTATGAATGAATATGATAATGGAGATGACTTGAGAACTTAAATTATGATCCACTTGACTTTTAGAATCACCGATTAAATTCCAGATTTAGTTGAAATGCCCCTGAAGTGTAATATGTTTCGAAGCACGTCCAAGCTCTGGAATAACTAAATACCCTCAACTCTGAATTGAACAAATCATCCTCGTATATCAATATGACTATATTATATGACCAAGTTAAACAGAATGAAAGTAATATATGTAATCGGATTTACGAAAATGAACAAATAACTCAGGAAACTACTAAGCGACCGAGATAAACTTGAATATTAATTGAATTAAGTACACCGATGACCTTGAATTAAGTGAATACTCTGGAAGTGCAATGTTTTGATTGGTTGAAAGATATCATTGATGGGACTTGTAAAGTTCGAGTTAACTCGATATTTCGATAGATCAACATATATCATAAATGCCCTGAATCTTCGTTTCTCCCTTATTAGTTCAAATCACTAAGAATTCTCCAAGAACCTAATGCCCAAAATGCCTTTGATTTTTCCGAATAATGGAATCACTCCTGTCATATCTGAAAACACAAGTAACTCAGATGCAAAGGATTCTGAATACCTTTCTGATTATCCAGTGCCTCCGAAAAATGTCTAAATACTATATGATCCTGATAAACCATGTTCTGAATAACTGATGTTTCCGTCAACAAATGAACTATTTCAATAGTGATTCTAATTTCTGGAATTCTATCAGTATACTGAAGATTCGTGTTTCCTTTCCCAATAAGATTATCAAGTACCTCCGAATAATATCTATAACCTCTAGTATGTTTCTTGATCATACAAATGTTTTCTCTAATTTTAAAAGTATGTCTCTATTATCTGAAATACAATATGACCTCTGATTTCTGCTATGAGCTTTGATATCTGTTCTGATAACTGATTTCAGTTATGATATCTGATATCTGTTCTGATTTCTGATATCTCTATTTACTGATCGAATTTATTTTTATACGGGGTACTCTGGGACTCTGGTATGACAGAAGACACTGGCATGTTCAGTTGCTGTTGGTAATTCCTTGTATAGGTTCAATACCGACTGGTAATTCCTTATAGACTTAAGGTGACTCTTGGGTGGGCTCCTGGGCTTAATTGGCCTAGTGGTAAGATCTTATGGACCCTAATGCCACCACTACTATGTGGTTTTGGGTAAGACCTTATGGACATGAAGGCACTCCCCTAAGGTGGGAACCTACGCTTTAGCTAAGGTAAGACCTTATGAACCCAAGGTGCTTTCTTAGGTTGGTACCTATGCCCTTTGGGCCTAGGGTAAGTCCTTATGGATGCAGTTATGGGGAACTGCATATTAGCGTTCGGTTAGAGGGTTTTACTATGGTTTTTGAAAAATAAGTTTAAATTGCTACTGTTTTAAAAAGATATATACATTTTCACTGGTTTTGTGGGAACACACTAAACACCCTATTCCGATATACTGAACCTAGTCCTCCGAACGTTTACTCTGAACTGAAAGCTTCTTGTCTTTTATTACCTGAGAAAGAATCTGTAGATGTCTGAATCATTAATGAAAATTATGCTTACATGTTATCTGTATGTTATTCAACATCTTTTGATATTATTGTATTATTGAGCTTTCCGAAGCTAACTCTGTTACTCACTATTTCAGGTCAAAAGGATTGAACCAATGCAACGATTGATATCAGTAAAAGAGTTCCACCGGTGTTTAGGGGTCATGTAAGTTGTATTTTGTTATATATATATAAGTCTGAAATTATTGAATTATGTTTCGATATAACAAATTTTAAGGAAAAATGTTTTTGGACTTGAATTGAATTTATTCAAAGTTTTAAAAAGGTTTCAAAAATAATTCAAAGTCCATTAAATTTGGATTTGAGAAAAAATGCTAAAGGGTGTCAAAGTGCATCCATGCACCCCTGCAGTGCATCCATGCACCTGCCACTAGTGCATCGATGCACCATGTAGTGCATCCATGCACTCCATTTCGAATGCAATTAGTGCATCGATGCATCCTGCTGTGCATCGATGCATCCTGCTGTGCATCGATGCATCCTGCTGTGCATCGATGCATCTTGCTGTGCATCGATGCATCCTACTGTGCAT